CGCGACCGTTCCCATCCAAACGGTTTCAACTAGTTAATGAACTGAAGTGCATGACAGACAGCAGCAAGCATTCCGGGAAACAAGTAGGAAATTCCCTGGTAGTTTGTGATCCAGTAGCTCCAACCTTCAGGTCAGGATCTTGTGGTGGGAGTCGTGTTTGTGTGTGTGAAGGGAGGAAGGTGGCGCTGTTACCTAGCTCGCCTTCCTCCTATCTGGGAAGGCAAGCTAGCTAATATTAGCAAGATGGCCGCCAGCGGTTTTCTGGCTTTCTGTGAATAGGCGCCATGTCAATGACCTGAGTGGGTGGAGCCTCAGATTGAGGCACAGATGACATCACTGGATGGCGTGCAGACCCTTCGGATGACGCGATGCTCACCTGTAGTCACCTGACCGAGGGACAATCAGACACCAGAGCTGTTCACTGACGTTTTATTTTTAAATCTGTCTACAGTACAATAACTGCTCTCTGATTGGTCAGCCTGGAGCAGGAAATGATGTCAGCTGGACACCATCTTACATTCAGTCAGGTCTGAATTAAAAATATAGAAGCCTCTCATGATGCCAGTAAACATGACCAGGAAGACATGGATCAAAGTCTTTTTTCCACTACAGAAGAAGAAAAGCCCTGAAGGCAGCAAACGCCTCACCAAAACTGAGTCAGCCAATCAGGAATCAGGTGTGTTCAGAGACATGTTAGATCAGAGTGTCCCTGAACACACCGTGCTGACTGACCCGTCTCCATGGCGATGCTGGGTCATGGCTCACTAAGTCTTTGAGGGAACGGCGAGTTTCCAGATATAACTTCCTGATAAACCGACAGAAAGGCACCTGATTGGTTCTTCCACTGGATGGACAGACATGTTATTGGACGGTTTCTGAGCTCCTCCTCTTCCTCTCACTGACCCAGCATGTGACTGATGTGGCCCTGGAATCATGTTTAACATCAGCTGTTAGCTCACATCTGATTGATTGATTGATTGATTGATTGATTGATTGATGACATCACAGACACCAGAGGTCAGACCCTCCCTGACCAGAACCAGCCTCGGGTTCTTACCGGTTCTCCTCCCAGACAGCGGGGACAGCGGGGACAGCGGGGACAGCGGCGCTGAGGTCCAGTCGGGGTCGATCCGACCTGCAGACCAGAATACGTTAACAGGTTTCCATGGCAACAGCGCCCCCTAACGACAGTCCGATGTTCGCAAAAACTCTGCCTTGGTTTCCATGGTGACTGAGCCAGAGCGGTCTGTTTCACTGGAGGTCGTCATGGCAACTGGCACGCACCTGCTGCTCCTGCTGCTGATTGGTCACAGGCACATCATGGGACATTTCCATTGGATACTCTGCTATCTGAAGCTCCGCCTCCAAACACAGCCGCTTCTGAAACCAAAGGTCATCATCATCATCATCATCAGTGACATCATCAGGCCGTTTGGGTGGAGCTGCCAGTGGAGGCATAGATCTACGCCATGCAGATGTGTTGAGCGCAACACGGCTCAGAACCAGAACCGGTTCTGAGTCCTGCTCCACATGTTTTCCATGAACACCAATGACCTTTGACTCACTCAGATACACTGGAGAGTTCCCCAACATTAATGACCTGCTGAAGGTCAGGACCTCTACCAGCCTGGACTTTGATTAGGCCACTCAAAGCTCTTCATATGCAGCTTTAAAATTCACCATAAAAAATTCCGACTCCATTTCAACAGTATGAGAGGAAACTGGCCTCAGGTCACCAACAGGGGGCAGCGCAGCGGCAGGACCAGCCTGCCGCCCTATGGCTCTGAGGTTATTGTTGGAACATTATTATTATTTCCATATTCCCCTAACCCAAACACAGTTAATGTTATCCTGTAAAGACCCATCAATAACCTGCAACAGCCACCAGCACAGGCCTCAGCTTCCTGTTACCATATATGGTCATGATAAGTTTTCAACATCTGGCTTGAAAAACGTCCAAATTCAATTCATTCATGTCATTAAAAGAATTTAATAACCATCTCAAATTATAAGTGAGATTTCCAACGGTCAGTACTGGGACCAGTTTAATTTAATTTGTATATGAACGACATAAGCAACGTGTCTAATGTATTAAAATTTGTGTAATTTTCTAACGACAAATATTCTGGTCTCTAGAGCTGTTACAAAAACACTCAAATTCAAGCTCAGACAGAAAGGCCAGGGCTCAGCGAACCCACCAGATACCTGGTCTACAGGCTCTTACTGCGCGCCGCACCGCGCTGACCGCTGCACCGCGCCGCGCTGACCGCTGCACCGCGCATCTATTTTCTGACTGGAAATTTCATTTTTTCTTTGGCAAATTATTTACATTTTTATGCATTTGAGCTGCCTGACAAACTCACCTTGTTCACTTTTTTGGAGAAATCACTTTTGTTGTGTGATTGCGACTAATGGACTTTTGTATGTGTTTAGGAGTTTCTTACTTCTTCCTACTCTTTTTTTCGCATGTTAGTATTATTGTTAATATTATTGTTGTTATTGTTAATATGATTGTTGATGTTATTGTTAATTAATGCTGTTATTGTTAATTTTATTGCTGTTATTGTTAATATTATTGTTAATATTATTGTTGATGTTATTGTTAATATTATTGTTAATATCATCGTTAATATTATTGTTGATATTATTGTTGTTATTGTTAATTTTAATGCTGTTATTGTTAATATTATTGTTGTTATTGTTAATTTTAATGCTGTTATTGTTAATATTATTGTTAATATCATTGTTAATATTATTGTTGTTATTGTTAATTTTATTGCTGTTATTGTTAATATTATTGTTGTTATTGTTAATTTTATTGCTGTTATTGTTAATATTATTGTTAATATTATTGTTGATATTATTGTTAATATTATTGTTGTTATTGTTAATATTATTGTTGATGTTATTGTTAATATTGTTAATATTATTGTTGTTATTGTTAATATTATTGTGGTGCAAAAAAACGTGTCTTTTGCATTCATTGTTCTTGTGTGATGTTATACTTCCATCATGTTCCAAATAAATACATGTTTGACATTTGACCTTTTTTTCCTCTGATGACTAACTGGAGCCAATCAGCTGAATGTTCTAGCCGGGTCAGTACCGTGGGTTCGGAGGGTTCTGGTCAGACGGTACCAGAACATTAAGGCCAGAGAGGGTACAATAGCAGTGGAAACAACTGATAAACAACTGGTTTAAATTAACCACCGACTAGATAGCTAAACTGCAGCTGACTTAGTCTCTTCCTGTTAACCTTCCTCATTTTCCTCCAGGTGTGTCTCACCTGCTGGCAGATCCAAGGCTCCGCCCCCTTCCTTTTCAGCAAGTTAGCTCCCTGCATGCTAACGTTAGCCTGTTAGCTGCAAACTGTTTCCGGGCTGAAAGACACAAACTGACCGGCCGACCGAGCAGCTTCCGGTTAAACTCCCAGTAAACTAACTCGGCACACAATTAACCAGTTAACCAGTAACCAGCTCCAAACACACTGCTGTTGCTGTTGCTGCTGGTTTTGTTGTCCGACCTTCTGCTGATCGGCAAAATCAGGTTTACAGCAATCACACACTTCGGGTACGGAAATGACGCACACCTTCACAATAAAAGCGCGTAAGGCGCAGGCCGGAAGTATTTAACGCTTTGATTGGTGGCTGAGCGTGTTTCCCAGCTGATGGATGATTAACAGCCTTTTGCTGAACTGCAGTCAGAGAGATCCAGTTAACTAGTTACATTTACTGGAGTAACTTTTGGAAAAAATGTACTTCTGTTAGTATTTTTACTTCACCATACTTCTTATTTCTATTTGAATCACATTAATTGTTACTCTTCGTAGAGTAAACTTTCTGGATCTTCTAATTTCACTGAATGAAGAAAAATAAGTTTTAATCACAAATACACACCAACATCCGATGCAGTCCGACAGTTTATGTCAGAGTGGGACCTCTACTTCGTTTACCAGCGTTGTTGATCTATTGTTATCTTTTCCCTGCTGGGATATCAGGCCTAATGATCCACATGACACCGGAAGTATTAGGCTTACTTTGAGATTCACTCGACTATATCTGCACCGTTTGGTTCATTTTAGCAGCTAAAATTCCGGAATTCAGTCACAACGACCATATTTTCCGCACCGGGCTGCAGGCCTGTCGGTTTAATCATAAAAAATAATGAATGTATGTAATAATAAACCTGCGTCTCCAACGAGCCATGGATCACTTCTGGCCCAGTTTACGTGCAGCGGCTCTATTTCCCTCCTGACCTCCAGGTCGACAGCCTCCAACTTAAAAGCTGCATTACATGAACGTCTCCGTGTTTCCCTGAACAGGAAACAGGCTGAGTTTGGATACTAGCATTGGCTTGTTCTAAATAACAATCATTTCTTCTTTGATTTCCAATTTTGACTCCCAATGATTCACTTCCTGCGAAAGAGCCCCCCTGGTGGTTGAAGAAAAATCCACAGAAAAGCGCGGGAAAACAGTAGCGGCTTATAGTCCGAAAAATATGGTTTGCCTTATATGTTGGTCTGTCAGTCATGACTTAAAATATTTAATCGCATTTTAATCAGGTACTTAGTGCTTGAGCCGCCTTTCAGTCTTTGTCAAGTAAGAGTAAAAAAATACTTATTATTCCTATTTTTTTTACTCTTGCTTCAGTCTTGTAAAGCTATTTTTTACTTTTCCTTGAATAAAGTTATTTTGAAGAAGCATTACTGTACTAGAGTACTAAGTTTGGGAGCTGGGTTGATAATAATAATAATAATAATAATAATAATAATAATAATAATAATAATAATAATAATAATAAAATAATAATACATCCGGTATTCCACAGCTGGAATCTAGCCAACTCGATGCTTTTATTCTGAAACTTGTCTGACTGAGCCAGAAGTTGTCCTTCTGTCAGCTGGATATGTGACGCTGAGAAGCCTCTGTAACTTTTTCCATTATGGCTCAGATTTCAAATGCTGTGACGTCAAAGTAGAGCAAGCCAATTAACGTCCAAACTATCGCGAGATTGACACAATGGAAGAGTTAAATTCACAATTAAAAATATTTTTAAACGTTTCAGTGACGTAAAAGCAGTTTTTTAAATTAACACATCAAATATTTTATTTAAACAACTTTATTGAACAATCAAAAAAAAAAACAATGTCACATTTACATTATGGAATAAACATAACACTAAACAGGAAACAAAATATTGCCATTCTTGTAGCAAATAAAAAAATAACACAAAAAATAACCAAAATTAATAAATGGGAAGGAGAATATTATAAATAAATATGCATGAAAATGTTTATGCATTCACAGTTGGACTTTCTCCAGTCAATGAACAATTTTAAAGAAATTATGAAAAAGGAGCCAAACATATATCACTTTATTCCAGGTATTTCAATACCCTAAATACAAAAGTTGCATTAAGTAAGTATTAAACAAATTCAAAAACGGATTATCCTAAAGGTCATTAAGGTTTTCAAGACAGTTGGTTTAAACATGCGATTAACTAACTAACAGTTTCTGTTCTTAAGATTAAAACTCCTGAGAGTTGAAGATGATTCTAGTAAAAAACCTCAATGTAGTTTTTATTCTGTTGGCTTACATTTCCATATAAACTCAGAATTAGTTAATCAATGACTTTATACTTGTACACAATCAAAACAAGTTTTATTTTTAGAAAATTACCTTTCATCCACAAAAGGTTTGGAGTAAAACTTATGAAGGTTTCATTTCATATCAGTGATTTTAGGGTGAATGTCGTGTCTGACAAATAAATGATGTTTTCTTCATGTGGTCATGTTGTTGCTGTGAATCATCATTCAAAAGGAAATTCAAATATAGCTGCAAAATTCTCAAATCCCCAATCCATCCATCTATCCATCCATCCATCCATCCATCCATCCATCCATCCATCCATCCATCCATCCATCCATCCATCCATCCATCCATCCATCCATCCATCCATTGTTGTTCCAGCGACCCCCCCCCCTCCACTCCCCTTCCTTCACTCTCTACTCTCTCAGTCAAACATCACAGCTATTTTACTACCATCAAAGAACTTTGAGGTAACTCATTAATTGAATGTCCACAACATCTTTTAGATTTTCTTTATGCTAAATATTTTATTAGTAAAGCAATTTTGCAAGGGTCAGTACAGCTTAATTAAGTAGCAGAAATAATCAAATAAGTAAAATTAATCATCTGGAATATCTTTCCCTAACGCTGATACTAAGAACTAAAAAGGGAACCTTTGAGAGATGGACGGAGTTTGGTGTTGTTGAAATAATATTTTAAATTAGCACAATACTGCACAGGATAGTTTTGATACATATGAAATATACCATAGAAAGTTAAAGTACACTCTACATTCACATAAATTTAGATAAAGATCCAAACTAAAACAACTGCTGAATCTCTGAACTTATATAAATTCTTAGGGAGGATTCGACAGAAAAGACAGGCCTAGAATCTCTTTAGACAGAGTCTGTCTGCCAGGCAATTAACAAATTCCTTAGCATGGTTCAAAAGTTCACTAGGATCTTAAAACTTTTTATAAATAATTTTATCTATATTAGAATTAACTATATTTCTTTAAGCATGTTTTTAATTAGTTACTTATTAGATCCAAACTTATAGTCATTATTTAGCATTACATTGTGTGCAAGCTTGGTTAAAAATACAAACTACTTTCTTGTGGAAACATTTTGAGGCAGAGATAGCGCTGCAGCTGCAATCATATATCAAACTGGACAGCGGCTGATACGAGAAGGGTTTGCCGTATATCTGCTTTTGGGGCTCTTTAGCAGGAGGTAATAAAATTAACATTAAGACAGCACACACAAAGGAAAAGAACACACCTCCTAATGCATATATTTAAATGAGGAGAATATGCAGTCTATAAAAAATGGTTTGTTTCACAGCAGAAGTTGGAATCTCTTTGTGCTGAGTGAGAGTTTCCCGGAGGATGCATCTTCTGTCTTTTTTACTCAGTTCTTTGTCTCTGTTTTGTCATGTCTTGGACTTTTGATAATCTAGGTGAGATGCTTGTTGTAACATTCTGAACTGCATTGAATTTCTCTGGATAAAACTCTGAATATCTGAAGTCTGACGTCGTATGATTGCTCTTTTCTTTCTGCACACTTACACAGACACAGGAATTCGGGACAAAGAATTAATTAAAGAGCTAAGATCAAGTTATTCCTCTTTTAATTCTTAACAGTGTCTCGAACCCCAGAACTGGATCGATAATGAAGAAGGTGTTGCAGCAGAAGGAGGTTGATTGACGAAGGCAGGGATCTCTGTTGGTCTGATGAGCTGTCATCTCTGTATCGATGGTGAGGTCACAAAGGACTTGGGTCTTTGTCTTTGTCTTGATCTTCATCTTTTCCTTGGTCTTCATCTTTGTCTTTGGGGTCTGAACCCAGCTGATGGCAGAAGTGTGATTTGAAGCCACATGTTGCGGGGCTGATGGGTTGGTCCCCGTGAACAGGACAGTCTTCGGCTCTGTGTCTCTGGCTCTTCTTCAGCTGCAGAGTTCTTTGTCTGTCTCGGTCTTGACTCGAAGCTGCCTGGAGGATCCAACCAAAGATTCCTCTTTTGCGCTCCCCTTATATAGGGTTTATACCCGCTTTTGGTGCATTTGCATTGGCTAACACTGTTGCTGTGCTTTATTGGGTAACTTGTTTGGACAGATGAACTGTCTTAGAGACATTTTGTCCTGATGTCTTGACTAATGTCTCAGGGTGACTCAACGTTCCTCCCATGTCTCTGGCACGTTTAAGTTGTTCAACAATCTATGTCCTAATAAGGTCTTGGTCATCTCTGCTTTCCAGTTAGTCCCCATTTGACCCCTGACCTTTCACCTGCTATCTACCTCCAACACATCAGTGATCTTTAATAGCAGTTACATGTTTTACACCATTTCAAGTTCAATGTCAAAATCACATTCATAACCCTTTGCAGGAAAACCAGGTTTATTTTATTGCAGCCTGGGTCTACTGTTGGGTCTGGATGTCACTTGTGTGACTAATTTTAAAGGTAACTTTATTTATTGTTACTATTAACTAAAATCTCCAGCATGGGGAAGTGGGATGATCTCGGACTTTCTTGACACCATCCATCCATCGGGGTTGGAAGGCTTGTTGGTCAGTGTTCTAGTTAAGACCACCAAACCCAAGACCATCAAAAAATGGTCTAGAGCAGGGGTGCTCAAGTCCAGTCCTGGAGAGCTACCACCCTGCAACTATCAGATGCATCCCTGCTCCAACACACCTGAATCAAATGAATGACTAGTTACCAGGCCTGTTCATAGCTGAGCCTGATCTACTGGAGTAAGGCTGCAACTAAAAGTTGCAGGACGGTAGCTCTCCAGGACTGGACTTGAGCACCCCTGGTCTAGAGAATTACAACAATGTTGCTGGTGCCTTTCTCCAGCTGTCAACAAGGCGGGGTCACCTGGACAGGTCGCCAGTGGACCGATTGGTGTGTTTTCCAGTAACTGACAGGTTTTAAAAGTTGTTCTCTTATAAAAAACCAACACTAAATGCACCAGCAATATTTCCTTAGAGCGAG